CTGAACCGATGGGACTACATGATGGCTGTTGGTGAGTGATTATATAAGTGACGTTATTCCAGGACAATTGGAATAACAATTTTACACTGAAAACAACACAGCAGCACATTATTTGATCTGATACCTCATCAATTTTATTCTTTGTTCAAAATAAACACTTCAATTCTGATGCTGCAGCACATTCTAACAAAAGTTGGGACAGTTACATTTCAGGGTTAGTAATGAGGTAAACAATGAAATGATGATTCCATTTGAAACAGGTGATGTCAGCAGGTGACTGCATCATGATTCGGTACAAAAGTGGCATCCAGGAGGAAAGATGGGCCGGACATTGGCAGATTGCCAACATACTGTATGCATGAGAAAATTATTGAAATGTGTAAAAACAAAGAATAAAATTGATGAGGTATCACATCAAATCAAAGACAGATAATGTCACGTTTTAATATCGCGAGAACCGGATCTCGTCACACTCTTACTAGAAGTGTATTCAGAAATACTTCAAATGTTACTATCTAGTATTATCGTACGTAAGTACGTTTAGCCATTAAATAGTAAAGGCACCCTTTGGAGTTTTTGACCAGTAGCTTATAGTATATAATGTCCGAACCTGACCTGGACCCAGCACAGTTGAGTTTCTATGTTGTTTTCTGCCCTTAAATGAAGCACTCCAGCCATCTATCGTAAAGTTTGACCTATGTGACTAATCCCACCCCAGACCCAAACATAATTTCTAAATTTCTGTCCAAACCCAGCCTGAAGCCTTGGGTACTGATGGGTCCCATCGGGCTCAGTCTGGGTATCCACACTCTATTTCCTGCTAGAAGCAGGACTCTCAGACAGAGATAGTACTGTAACAGACACAAATGTAGCAATGCCAACAAAAGCAGTGAAGAAGAAAACTTCTGGCAAGAAACATGAATGTACTGCAAAGCAAAGCACAATTTAAATTTATTTAAAATATCTGAAACATTTGTTTTGAAAGAATGCATTCACATCCAGCACATCTGTTGTGAGCAGCGCGTATCTCTTGGATGCTTATGGGAGCAAGTGGTTTTCAAATAGAGGGGAGTCTTTAAATTAATCAAAAACTGCTTCTTGAAATTTTCAGTGAATCCTAAGCACTGTCCATTGTTGTTCAAGTGACAGATCATGTCAAATATAATTAAATAGCTACAGGGTTGGGGAATCTTGACCCTGTATAAATATGATCATCTTCTCTGCTTTATGTTGGAGATAAATAGAGCTACCTCTTTAAGCCAACCATAAAATGCAGCAAAACATAACACCTGCTTGCCAGGAGGCAATATTGTGCTGTAATACATCTAATTAGTTTGTGCCCTACCTTTAAAAACCCTGCACTGAAAGTAAGGTTAAATGGATGCAGCTGTGAATTTTGATGATGTTGTCCATTGTTTGATTTAACTTCCTCTGAACAGTTTAATGAATGATGTTAGGTTAACAAAGGAATAAACAAAATGGAGTACTTTCTTTTGAAGTAACTAGGTCTGCTCCCGGCATGGAAGCAGAATATCTCACAAGGGCAGAGAGCATCTAATATATTGATTTAAACTGCTCTTTATCACAAGCATGTCTCCAAGGACTTTGCAGAGAATGAACCTGCATTTTTATAGACACAAAATGGTGTAAATGTAGGACAGAACATTATAAAATGTATGAAAGTACATTTAAGCATAATAACAGGTTAGCCTACACAATCTGGAGGTTTTATCTAAACTGAAGTGAAATTAAGGGCAAGCAAGTTTATTAATATAGCACAAAAGTAATTCGAAGTGCACACAATGCACACAGATAGAGCAAACAATAACAATGGAAGTTTGGCGGCTAAAGACTAGTTAGAGTCAAATCTGTTAAAGAAACGGTTCAATTCGTTTGCCCAGGCCTGGTCTCCCGCAACCTGGTGATCATCCCCACTTTTTCTGTGGCCCGAAATGTGTTTCAGACCTCTCTACACCTCACGTCCATGCTCTGCTCTAGCTTCTTCCTGTAGCTAGCCCTGCATTTCTGGATCATATACTTTAGTTCCCTCTGCTCAGCTCCTCCTTGTCCCCTGAGAGGAAAGCCCTCTTCTTCTCATTTAGCAATACTTTTAACTCAGGGCTCACCCACGGCTTGTTGTTAGGAAAACACTGTACTCTCCTGGATGGTACGGTATTTCCCACACAGAAGTTTATGTAATCCGAAACACAGTGAGGCCATCTATGTCCTCTCCATGAGGACTGCAGAGGATGTCCCAGTCTCTGGTGTGAAAACAGTCCCTCAGCTGCTCAATTGCCTCCTCTGTCCATACCTTTACTACCCTGATCTGTGGTGACACCTTTTTCACCACTGGAGTATACACAGGAAGCAGGTGGACAAGGTTGTGGTCAGAGAGACCTAGAGGGGGGAGGGGCAGAGGTGTATGCATTTCTGGCCTTTGCATACAGTAGGTCCAGAGTTTTATTGTGCGGCAATTTACATACTGGTTGAAGTTTGAGAGGGTGGCAGAGAAGGGGAGGGAGGCATGGTTAAAGTCCCCCAAGATGAGGATTAGAGCTCGTGGGTGTTGTGTCTGCAGCCTAGAAAAGCAGCAATTACATGATAGTACAAGCAGCAACATGCATGAATAGATACCTAGTACTTTTAGTATAGCTGTGGCAGACTGTGGATTCTCACTGTTGTCAATATACAGTACAGTGGAACCTTGGATTGCGAGTATAATTCGGTCCGGCAATGTGCTCGTAATCCAAAGCACTCGTATATCAAAGTGAATTTCCCCATAAGAAATAATGGAAACTCAGATGATTTGTTCCACACCTACTTATCCATATAAAAATGATTACAGTAATATAAAATACAGTATAAAGTAAAAATAAAACAAATTAACTTTACCTTTGAAAAGAATCGTGGCTGGCGTGAGGGGCCATTGTTGCAGTACAGATATTGACTATACGAGTGAAGCGTGAGAGCCATCGGCTCAGTTGTGACATGCGTCACGTGATGCTCGGTAGACAAACGTACCTGCTACTCGTATTGCGAGATCTCACTCGTATATCGAATCAAAAGTTTTTGCTTGTCTTGCAAAACACTAACCGAGTTACTGCAAATCCAAGGTTCCACTGTACTTGTACCCCTTTACTTCAGCCTTCTCAAGACTCGGG